AACCGGCCGCTTACGCGGCCGATTATACTTACTGCAAAATCCCACTTATACCCAACTGCCCAGGATATAACTATTACGTATGTACTTGAATAACAAATGGCACAAATTACTTTGGCCAACTAATATGTTACCAACCTGGCATTCAAGGGTAGCCAGTTTATATAAAAATATATGTATTATAAGTTGTAAGTATCTGAAGTTATACTTGACTAAAATTCGCTTCTAAGATTATTAGCTAGTCAATGTAATTTTAGGTTGGTACTAACTTTAAAGTACATATTATTTATTTTAGCTCAAGTACAAAAATACCTACCTATTTCAAATATCATATAAATAATAAAAAAACCATTGTAATGTTTGTAGTGTTTATAAGTTTTCTTAAGGATACTGATTTTATATTGTAAATTAACATTTCCTTAATCCATATATTTAGAATTACAAGCTTCAATGTGACTGGAAACATTGTATACAAGAAAAGATAACCGCATATTCAGTTATTTTGCTTTCAAATATTCAAATGGTAAAGCTTTGACCTGTAATGTTATATAAGTGAATGCCCAAAAATATAGTTACTTGGCCAGCAAATATGTGGCCAATAGTCTTACAATCATGAAATCGCCATTCTATTCGGCTTATAAACCGCCTGAAGTATACTAAAACGTTTGCAAAGATATATTAAGCATAGCAAATTTTTATTTCTATAATGCATAAAAAAAGCTAATGATAGTAAAAATAATGATATTAGAGATAATGATGGCAAAGATAATGAGAATGATAACGAAGATACTAAAGACGATAAGGTTGCGAGAATGTTAAGGACGAGATCAGCTCCAATAACGCAGATATAAAACGTAGCGATGAAGACTATACATAGTGTCTAAATTATTTTTGAAAACAAAGTAATTTCGCCAAAAAATTTCACCATTGTCAAAGAAATTCAAATAATTCCGCCAATAATTTCTTATGAAATAAAAATTAAAAAAATTAGAAAGACCCTTCTTATCACTCGAGAATCGACAACGGAATCCTGACAAACCAAATCTCGACAAAAATGACCGAAAATATAGCTAACGATAATCTAATGCACGCTAACTTGTTGGGATTTTGACCGGTTCCGCGAGAAATCAGTCGTGATAGGCTGATTTAAAAAGGAAATATAAAATGCACAAATAATTCATTGTTCGGGACGTAGCGGAGGGCTTTACAATGGATAAGTAAATACGGAAATATCTAAAAAGGTTCTGCGATCCGCTCACATTTAATAGTGTTACACAAAATGTTTATTTACTGATATATTTATATAATTTCACGGACGTATTTCAATAATGTTTAGGAAAAGCAATTCCATTCTCTGCAACATATCCGAATTGGATTTATCATGTAAGAATCCACTGGCTACGTAGTATTGTAGTAATTAGTGATAAAAATCTGACTTAGTTAAAAAAAATTAAAAGGGTATCCAAACAATCTGAGACCTCAGAGCGAATGCGAGCTCAAACACTCTCCAATATACCAAATATTGTTTTAAAAATATTTAAAACTAATATTTTATAATATTAGAAACTTTACCAAGTAAACCTATCAATACTGGTAAATATTAATTTTTTTAGTTTTTATATATATGTAATAAAACTTTGCTAAAAATTGTCGTAATGGTGATAATACATGGAATGAAAGCAGACATTACAGATGTAATAACTCTCCTTATTCGAAGTACGCTAAAAAAAACTCCGACCAAGAAATATGGCCATAGGCCAACACACTTAAAACCAGATTCATGCATTAGCATATGGATATCATCTAGGATCTCTCATATTGGAAAAACCCGACATGGTCGACCTGTTAGGAGCCACCGACTTAGATCATTCAGAAGGACCTATAGGTTGTTCAATGCAATTGGCTATGAACAAATCTAGCACGTAAGTCAATAAAAATTTTATCTACTAAAAAAACAAGCAACTAATTTATTTTTTCTAATTTTTTTTTTTTTCATGCAGACTTTCGCTTGGTTGGATATGTTCATGCAGATTTTCACTTGGGATACGTTCACGCAGACTTTCGATTGCTTGGATACGTTCATGCCGATTTTTCGCAGGATACATTCATGCCGATTTTCTCTTGGGCGCTTGGATACGTTCATGCCGACTTTTCGCATGGATTGCTTGGCATGTTCATGCAGATTATGTTCATGCAGATTTTCACTTGGTAAGTTATTAATTTAAAACCCCAAGGACTAGTTTTATCTTGGCATTGTCCATTTCTTTCTGGTTAATAGTTAAATCTTTTATGAATAGGGGTCGGTCGCGGCACAAGAGTTAAAATTGGTTGTTATATAACAGACAGAACGATTAGACTAGAAGCAGGATATGTTCATAAAGACTTTCACGTGGCAATATTTTACAAGATGATGCCACTTGCAAAACTCTGTGATCTTATGTCTCAGATCCTATAAGCCCGATAAAGGCATTAGCGAAACTCTGCAATCATATGTCGCAGGTCCTGTATGATAAAAATCATCGGGGACAAAATGCATCTAAATATTCTTTTTAGAGATATAGTATTTATTGATTTCATCATTTATGTTCTGTTAAAATTCTAGTAATGTTGTATAATAGTAAAGTTGTATTATATTCTGATTATATTCTGTAAAAAACGTTATTACTTCTACAATACATTATTAAAACAAATCCCAAAGAAATAAGTGAAAAAGTTTTATAACTTCTGATAGTAAAAACTAAAGTATCGTTATGTATTTTGTGCTATATCTAATGCTCTGGACGGGTCAGGTCAGGTTGGCCGACCAGAAAACTTGTGTTAAGTCGGGTTGAGAAACTTTCGGGTTAATGCCTCAATCCGACTTGAACCCCTATAAAATTTTGAAAAACGTATCTCGGCTTTCTTCAGACTATCGTCCCATTATCGTTCTGGAAAATGCTCATTTTTCGAAACAAAACATATATAAATTCCCATAGAATCCTAATCAATTCCGAGTAAAAATCAAATTCGGATAAGATTTGGCTTCTAATCATAATGAAGTACAAAAGATTAGAAGCCGAATCTTACCCGGATTTGATTTCTACCCGAAAATTACTGAGATTCTATGGAAATGACCAAAAATTTTTATAGGGACTGACCCGAAATTGCTAAGGCTAGCATATAAAAAAATTCTTATCATTAAGCATATTTTGTTAAACAATTAATTTATAATAAATTTAACCTATTTAGGGTTCTTATTAGAGATGAGTCTCTTACGCTATAAACCTAGTAGGGTTGTTAATGGAGTGGCATACTCCGGAGCAGCTTCAGAGTGAACCCAACCCAAGTTGGAGTGGGTTAAAAATATGCTGGAGTGAAACTGGAGCGGCTATAAGCAAATCTGGAGTGGCTCCAAAGTGAGTCCAACCCAAGTTGGAGTGGGATGAAGAATAGCTCAACCCAACCCAACCCACCCCAATAACAACTCTATAACCTAGCATTTATTTCGCATGTCATATGACTTCGCACGAAATGTTATTGTTAGATGACCTCATACGGGACGAAATTGAGTTTAGCAGATTATCAGTTTTAGTGATAGCTTTATTGACTTTTTTTTTTTAGTCTAATTATTTTACTAAAAAGACATTTGCATTTTATAAATTACTAATCACAGATTTTCTTTACTAAAAATTTATTTCGCACGAGATATAATTAATTCATTCGAGGATGATATCAGCATCTTGCGCGTGGGCACATTTTTAGTCCTGATTTTTCCATACCCTTTTTTATATTTCCATACTCCCTGCAAAATATGTGACGCATTTTAATGTATCGATATCAATATCACAAGTTAAATTTGTTAAATGACAAAATTAATACCGGTACCAATGTTATTATCGTTATTGCACTACATACACACGACATACGTACGTAATAAATAATTATAAAATGTAACATAAAAAAACAGATAATCGATCTTTTTTTTAAAAAAAATAATTTAAATATTCACCCTAACATAGCATTTCGCTAAATTGTTTCTCAAACAATATATTGGAATATTTATTTTTTTATACGATTATAAAATTGTTCCTACACTTTGATGGATATAGGGGTTTAATAGATAGAAATACAAGATGAGTGAATACAAAATTTATTATGAAATGAGTATATAAAAAACCAAATTTAATGCATTAAGCTACACATCAACAACGTGAAAAAATCAAGAAAAAATCAAGTTGGTGTACTCTCTTAAATTC